GGCGGGGTCTTTTTTTACGAAGAGCTCCACAAAGCTTCTTATCTTAACTTTAAAAAGGGGTCGCTTTGAGGGCTGCCAAACTTTAGCTATTCGAGAACCCCAGAGAGGTCTACACTGTTTACCAAGTTGCTGCAAATCTTGTTAACTAAGAGTAGAGCTGCTTTTTATAGGTGGACCTGCATTTCTGGCGTTTGGACATGCCTAAATCTCAAGAGGTAAGTGATTTTACTAAGCTCAGCTTTGTTGTTTTTTATCGACAGCTCAGAGGAAGACTCCGTAATACGTCATTTTCCTAAATTGCGTACGGCGTAATGCAGTGGCGTATTGTGACTATTAGTATTAGTCAATCCTCCCTCCCCCATACACACTTCTTTTTCAAACGACAACTGAAAAGAAAAGAAAGGTTTGGGCATCTAATTCGCACGTCTATAAGCCAGCCTGTCCTAAAAGTCTACAACACAATAGGTAGACTCACCTACAGAGCGAGAAGTAGTGAGGTAGGTATTTTATTCAGAGTTTGAGACCACTGGCCCACCACACATAAAGTATACCCATTTTACAGAAGAGACTTTCGTGAAACAGCACAAATCATAATGACACACGAATCAGTAACATTTTTAGAAAAACTCCAGAGCGAGAGGAAGACTTATTAGAGTGCGGTCAAAAATTCGTGGTGCAATTTATCCTCAAATATCTCTTCAACGGGTTAGTCAATGTTATCCATACTTTGAACAGCAGTTTGTATTTTTTTTTCACTTACACATATTTTTTCACAATTGAGGCTCGATTTTTAAAAATGTCTTCTTAAATTTATATAAAATAACGTTGTTCACAGCGTTTCCCGCTTCTCACACTCAATTTGTGTATGTATTATGGCCTACGTCACAGCTCATCAATGACACATTTTAGAGGCAAAACTTGTTATAAGAAATTAATTTTACAGTAAACACATTTTTTAACTAAAGGTTCTCAAAACATGCCTTCAATAAAGATAGAGTCACGATTAGAAAAACATAACGGGCTTGCTTTTAAAAGCGATATTGCCCTAGCTGTAAACATTTTAAAATCAGTAGAAACCATCCACTTGGAATTGTTATGAGTGTTTATTAAGTAATTTTCTAGAATACAGCTAACACGTGTTTACAAATTTATTGATCTGTTAAGACGAATTGATATAAGTCATTGCGCAAAAGCTGGGGAATCTATGTTCCATAATGTAGGAAATATTTGACATAAGTTGCGCAACGAGTTTTTTGACCGCACTTTAGGAAATGACGCCCCTACCTCCCGCGACACCTCATGGTATAAGCGAAGGATAAAATAACGTAAAGTAAGTCAGAGAATCCTTTCCCCAACACCTGTAACTTCTGTCGTAGTACCAAAACAAACAAAAAACAAAGTATGGTGGACATACCCTATTGAAAACGTCCTGTTGTGTTAGTGAGACAGAACATGACGTTCTCACTTTGTAAAAGTTACTGTGTGCGCTTCAGGTATGGGTGCCCCGTAAGCTCAGTTGGTAACATACTGGAATATGAAACGGGTGGGCCTTGTTCCATCCCCGAACGGGATGTTCTAGACTAGGGCTGTTTGAAAAGTGTTTAAAGTTCTTCACTCATTTGACTCAAGCCTGTCGGAGATAAACATTAAATTCGGATGTTTTATATTTTAAATAAACTAGACCTATTGTGATACAAGTGCCGTAAAACATTTACCCCCCCCCCCCCCC